ACCAACGTTTGCAGATAAGCCAAAGATCAAGACAGTTGAGGAAGGAGCTCAGCTTGAAATGGATGTCCGTCTTGTGGCCATCCCAGAACCCGAGATCACATGGAAGAAGAAAGGACAGGTAAAAGACAGCTGAATTCATACATATTGTATCTGTATAAGTTAAAGATTTTGTATCACAGATCTACAGTGCAGTGCAGAATTTGGCAAGTACATTAATCAAAACTATAGTAGTATCAGTATTTTTAACAGAACAATGTTGCATGTAAAAATACTTAGTGTTAAAAGGGGTGTTATATTAATTATGCATATTAAATCAGCTAATATCAGAAACACTGTTAAATTCCAGGTTATCAGGGATTCTCAGCATCTACGCATTGTGAAGCAGAAGGATGTTCATGCATATCGTTCTATCATTATCATCAAGGGAGTGAAGAAAGAGGATGAAGGACAATATGAAGTTATTGTCAAGAACCGTGAAGGAGAAGCCAGGAATCAAATTACACTTAAAGTTACTGTAAGTTTTTCATTTCATAACTACTGTAAATTCTCTTGAATTTGATTTAATCTGTTGCTTAACATTTTCAAAAAGTAACTGATTTGTAAACTAGTCATGCAGTTGCAGATTTCATGTGATATCAGCTAGGCTTATCCACCCAGATTAATTTGATTAGCATAAAATGTGACTACCAGCCAATTTCCAAAGTTTCTCCTGGAATATGTCTTCCAATATCACATTAATGTACATTACATGAATCAGACATAACATAGTAGGTCATTGCATCTCTTTAAATAGCCATCTTATTGGATCCATATCTGAAATCATCTTTGACACACAATATATGGTCCTTTCAGAATAAGAAGTCTGCACTATGTTATTCAATCACTTGAGGAGAAAAGATACATTAGGAATAAATCTGAATTAAATGAAAATCTTTGAAAAAAGCTTACAATTTTTTTTTTTCTGAGGGCCAGATTTGGAATAACTGCACACTTCACTGTTACACTATTTTCAACTGATAATTATAGTTTTTTTTTAAATTATACTTGATATTGTAATAAACCCCATTATTCTATATTTCAATTACAATTTTCTCCACAGGCACCTCAGGGTCCTGCCTTCCAAGAGAAGTTTGGAGACCAGACTGTAGAGGCTGAGGGAACAATTCGACTTGTTGCAAAGATTCGTGGTGTCCCAGCACCTGATGTTACCTGGAGCAGGTGAGCCACTGTACTATAGAAATTCCATCCAAAGTAATTGACAGAATCACTCAGCAGTCAGACTATAAAATATAAATATCCTAGTTGAAACCTCCCCTGCACTTTTTTATTCTTTTATTTCTGCTTGAAATGTTTATTTAATGATGGGTTTCCTCTTCTCAGTTTTGCCTGCTTGCCATTATTTAATTTACTTCCAATCACATAGTTATTTTTATTTTCTCTTTGTTTTATGCTACCCCTTCAAATATTATAAATGAACTTTAAACCCAACCACAATAACTAAACAAGTGTGTACCCTCCCTAAAATCTCAATTAATACATCTAGTAAAGAAAAGCTAAAAGATAAACCAACCTGCACCAGTTAACTTTGCTTTTGCCACGCCATTGACTCCAGGAATGGCAAAAAACTCAAGGTGGAGAAGAATGTAGTAATGACCTTCCAAGAGGAGCTGGCTGTGCTGGAGATACGTAATGTCACTCCTAAAGAAGATTCAGGCAAATACACATGCACAGCCACCAATAAGGTTGGCAAGGCCACACACTCAGCTAATATAACAGTGGGCATCGATGTTGTGTAAGTATTGCCTTCCAGCCTCATTAATTTTACCTGGAGATGGTAAGCAAGCTCACAATATTTTGCTTGCAAATGCCTTGTTTTTTAATATAGCTTATTTTAATTTTTAGCTTCTTTTTTCTTTTTATATCATCTACACTACCACATATTTTTGATAACATAAAAACATAGAATTTTAAAAATGAATTTTGTATTTTTATTTGTAGGTAATAAGGTACTGATAACTGAGAATAATCAATTATTGATACTTATCTTAAGTTGTAAATCAAAAATATATCCTAATATCAAATCATAATATAAGACATAATTGTTACCAAACTTCAACAACTAGCAGTCATCAGTAGCAAAGTCTTAAGCTACTATATTTCATGAACATTTACTTACAGTACCTTCAAACGTGGTTTGGAGTCGTGTGTTGTTGATGAGAACTCTGAAGTTATTCTGGAGTGCCGCACCTCTAAGGAAAAACGGGTAAGACAACCCAAATTTTATGTCACATTGTACATTTCTGAAGATCAGTAACACTTTTCTAAGAAAATAGATTCTTAGAAAACTGAGCTTAAACTTTGTAAATACATTTATCTCATTTATTATCCAGTGCCATTGTAATCTTGTAGGTTAATGTGTTGGAAGGAAAATCATTTTTCCCTTATTTTCAGTGCACTTGGTACAAGGGTAACACTGAACTCAAGAGCAGTAGGACCATGCACATTGAGCAAGAAGGTCTTACTCATCGTTTGGTTATCCAGTCAGCTACCATGAATGATTCTGGCAAATACAGCTGCAAATTTGACAACCAGTCTACTTTCTGTAACCTTACTGTGAAAGGTATGAATACAACCTATATTAGTTTCCATTTTTTTCTCTCTCAATTTTCTATTTTTCAGACATTTCATAAAAAAAAATAATAATAACAATAATAATTTTGATAAAGTAGTATTCACCAATTCCCATATCAACATTATCACATATTTTCTCTAAATGTTTTACTACATATTACTATATTTGTAGGTGTTGATGACTTTGTTGAGAGGATCCAAGATGTTGAGGTCCAGGAAAGGGAACAAGCCATCCTGCAGGTCGAAGTCAGCAGTGAGAAGGCCACTGTTACCTGGCACAAGGTTAGATATCAGTCTATTTTCTAAAAGACTTCAAATTCATGAAAAAGAGTACATGTATTCTGTATGTGGTACATACCAGTTTAATATTCACTCATTCCTAAATTTTCAACTTTAACAGGATGGTGAGGAGATCACAAGCAAGACAAATCGCTTTAAGCTGGTCAGTGAGGGCAAGAGGAGGAAGCTGATTCTTACAAGTGCCACCTTGGCTGATGAGGGCGAATACACTTGTGTCCTGGGTGACCAGGAATGTACTGCTGAGCTCACTGTACGAGAACTGCCTGCTGAGATTGTTAAAAAGATGAAGGACCAAGTGGTCTCAAAGGGCAACAGAGCCACCATGGAGGTACAAGTAATCCAGTTCTGTATTTAATATAATGCTAAAACTGAAATTACTCATATTATGATTGTACATTGTTAATGGTGCCTATATAATGAAACAACAGATATTAACATTAATATACATGTCATAGGTTGAACTTACAAAGGGTGATGCTGTCATTACCTGGTATAAGGATGGTAAAGAAATTCGTTTCTCTGATCATTACCAACTCTCCATTGATGGCAAGGTGAGAAGAAAATTACAATATAAGTTTATTATAGTATATAGTTCATAATGAAATAATGCTGTCATAACTGCAGACAAAATAAAGATGACACTGCTTACGGTAATGGCTAACCTAACTGTTGTCTAATGTGTTAAATACTACAGATCCAGAGGTTAATGGTGTATAACTGTCAACTTGAGGACAGTGGTGTTTACCGTGCTGTTGTGGGCAAGAGTGAATGTTCTGCCTCACTTAAGGTCAGTAAAACAGATCATGAATGGTGCCTGATTTTTGTTGTCATGGAGACAAGCACTTTAAAATAATACGAAAGGTTAAAAGTGAAGGTTTTCATATTTTCTTAATTATTCTTATTTGATAGGTTGAGCTGCAAGCAGAGGGAGACTTCTCTAAGAAATTACCAGCACAGATGGATGTGAATTACAAGGCAGATGCTACATTTGTGGTTGAAATCACAAAGGAATATGATGTTAAGTGGTACAGGTAAGTCATGGACAAAAAAAAAGTGAAATAATCAGTCGTGAAGCAAAGAGACCTCTTTCACAATTTCATGAAACGTGTTATATAATACACAACATATTCTTCATTTTAGGAATAATGAAGAGATTGTAAGCTCTAACAAATACATCATGAAGAAGGAAGCCATGAAGAGAATCTTAATTGTTAAGAGTGTGACTCAGGCTGATGCTTTTGAGTATTCCTGCGTCCTTGGTAAAATCAAGACATCTTGCAGACTTAATGTTGTCCGTTAGTATCAATGCCATTTCCTAATATCATACTGACTTGAAAATTTCTGAAAAATATAGTTTGCAGTCTTGTATTTCTTTGTCAAATTTGCTAAAAAGACTTAAACTTACCTTTATTTTTTTTGTCATCTTATAGTGATGGAAACTGCTCCAAAGATCGAGAAGCAGCACCAGAAGGCTGAAATTGTTGTTACAAAGGGAAAAGATGCTACTCTTACTGTGCCTTTTACTGCTACTCCAGTTCCCAGGATCTCTTTGTACTACAAGGGTCAGCTTGTAGAAACTGCAAAGACACAGAAGGTATGCTTTTGTTTCCACCATAATAGAATTTCCAACATTTTTGTTTATAATTTGCAGTACTCAGGTTACATATAACTAATATGTAAATAATAATGGCTTTTAAACTATACTGTTTGATGGTATTTATCATCAATATTTACAGATCCTGCCTGCTATATCTGAGAATGTGGCCAATATTACCATAAAACAGGTAGAAAATATTGACTGTGGAGAGTATAGGCTCAAGTTGAGCAATGACTGTGGAGATGCATTTGCAGAGTTCACTGTTAAGATCCTCGGTAAGCATTTTTCTTTTATACTGAATCTCTTTCAGAAGTATTTTTTTTTTATAATTGCCAGTCTAAATAATTTTTGAACCATAAATTGCCATATATTATACAGGCAAATCATGTCATCATATAATTTTCAGATAAGCCGTCATCACCTGGTTGTCCTGAGCCAATGAAAGTTACCAATGATTCTGTAACCTTGCACTGGACCATGCCTCAAGAGGATGGTGGACGAGTTATTATCAATTACATAATTGAATACAGGTAAAATATTGGTATTTTTGCTTTCCATTTGCAAGTAGTTGAAAAAAGAGAAAAATATATATATAGATATACAAGATTTATCAGTTTTGGCCATTTAGTGTTCAAGTACCTGCTTGTTTAGTTTATTTGAAAAATGATCACTGCATAGTTACTTATCTCATTAGGAATTAAATCAGTTAAATATTTCTTTTAGTGTATTCTTAATTTTTATAAAATCTAAATTTCAGGACCAAGAGAGAAGAGAAATGGATTGTGTATAACAAAGACTATAAGGTTACTGAAAGCACTGTTGTGGTTCAGCATCTGACTAAGGATGAGGAATACAGCTTTAGGGTTTCTGCTGTCAATGAAATTGGAACCTCTGAAGTCTCTAGGAGTTGTGGATTTGTCAAGGTAAAAAATATGAATATTCTGCATTTACCTAATTTTTTGAGATTTAGAACTGATAATATAATATATATTAAGCTAATCTGCTTGCATTTACTTGATGATTACCATTTATTATTAAAACACTTTAACTCATTAGCTTTTCATTAACTGTTACATTCATCTACAGGTTTCTGAGCCAGTGAGGGCTGAACCTCCTATGGTAAAGGAACAACTTCAGGCTGTTGTGAGTGGCCTTCATCAAGAGGTCATCCTTCGCTGTGTTGTTACAGCCACACCTGCACCCAAAATTGAATGGCTCAGAGATGGCAAAGCTATTTCTGGATATACTAAGTATGAAAACTTCACTGCTACATTCACAATCAAGCAGACTAATGAAGATTCTGGTGGCATGTACACCTGCCGTGCTAGTAATGAAGCTGGTATGGCAGAGTGTTCTGCTACTGTTGTCATTCAAGGTTAGTTAAGCTTATTAGATTTTTTTGGCTGTCAGATAGATATTTCACATATTCTATCATATCTATTACAGCTTGTAATATTTCTTCAGAAATATATATTTATAATTAGAGATTATTGCTTACCATAGAAATGTCTCCTTTATTATGACAATTTTTCAGAGGCACCAAGATTTGATTATGATGAAAAACAGCAGTGTCAACGTCTACATGTGGGTGAAAGATGGCATGTCCCCATTCAGGTCATTGGCTATCCAAGACCCAGGATCAATTGGTCTCGTAATGACCAACCACTCAGTGTAAGATAATTATTTTCAGTTACACCTAATCTATACATTATTATAAGAATAAACAGAATGTGAATTATTAAGTAATATAGTATATTTTAATACCATGGCAGAATATATGAGAAATTATTAAAGAGGTAATGTTTTAACTGATTAGATCCTCTACAGTTGTATATCAATCTTCAAGAATTACAACAAAAATAAAACTAATCTGGTGTTTGTGAAAAAATAATTAATTTGATTTATGAAATCATACACACATGTAAATTTTTGTTTGGTTTTGCAGTCCTCTCAGCGCATTGTGATTCATACTGAAGAATCTGAGGGAATGACAGATATTGCCATTCAGAAGTTGTCAATGGAGGATTCTGCTGTGTATACCTTAACAGCAGAAAATTCTGCTGGACGATCTCAGCTGAGCTTTAATCTCAGAGTTGTTGGTAAGTTATGGATTTGTTACAATGTTTTCTGTGAAAAAATGATAAACAGGAAGTTTTCAGATTAAGTCAAAGGTAATGATGCATGCCAAAATATCCAGATAACCACTTGGCATTTGGTTAAAAAAAGAACTTTATATGTATATTGCAAGCTTAATCATTTATACTATTTATATCAACATCTCTTAAAATTATGTTTAGTTTATCTTAGTCGGAGTTTCTTTCTTAACTTGCTCATCTTTGCCCTCACCACACAGAAGAGGAAAGGGAATCCCAAGTGTGTGCTCTTGAGGTTATTGAAGAAGAAGTTAAAAGGGGTAAATGGCATATTAAACACTTCATACAGTGTTTCTTGTTACCCAAGTTTTAACATAACAGCCTGATACCTTTCATTATATTTTAATATATTCCAGTCATGATTTACATAGAAATTTGCAACATCTCACTTTTAACTATACGCTACAAGTTTTTGTCCTAGATGTTTGACATAAAACAAGTCTTTTATCATTATTATGGTGGGAAATCATTAAACAAGTTGTTCATGCTTAAAACCATAACACAATATGCTGCCTATGCCTTATTTAATCACATCATAACCACAACAGCATCTTACATATGCAGTTTTCTTTACATTTTATTGATTTTAATAATACTTTTCTTTCCTGTTTTAATTATTATTATTTCTTGTGTGTTATCATATCATTTATTTTCAGTTATTCTTTAATCTAATAAAGAAGTGATACTTCCTGAGTTTTGTTCTTCATTTTACCACTGTTTCTTTATCTTAGGTTCTTTTGGAATGCTTTATATATTCTTTTGTTTTCTTGCTTAACCTTTGATATATTTATGATGGCACAGATTTGATCATGAAACTGATGGAGTTACAAATTCACAGCATGAAACTGCCTCTAAATATGAGCCTAGTATGTTAAGACTGTATCAGCTGCTTATCTTCTTTTTTTCATTAGTTATGCAAATAAAACATTCTGCCTGTAGTATTGATAATTCAATTAAAATCACTTGTAGGATACCTAGAAAAATATATTTAGTTTCTCACGCATGCACATATATACATCCAAATGCAGACATAGTCATATAGGTACATATACATATGAAGAAATTAATACTATGTCTACTGTTCACAAGATAGTGTGAATGAAATATTTTATGTCCAGAATTTAATGCCATTGATAATTTTCACAGAGCGCCCAGCACCACCTATGGGACCTCTCAGGGTTAGTGAAGTGACTTCTTCATCACTGAGACTAACATGGGAAGCTTCACCCTATGATGGAGGTATGGAGATCACTTCCTACTACATTGAAAAGCTTGAGAAGACCCAGAAGCATTGGCAGAAGGTAGCAGAGGTTAACGCTTCTGTGAGGACATATGTTGTCATGGAGCTGGTTGAAGGACATGAATACATGTTCAGGGTGTTTGCTGTCAATGCTCTTGGAATTTCTGACTCCCTGGAGGTTTCTGAAACCATTCTCATCAAGAGTCCATTTGGTAAGTTCTTTTTTTATCATATTTATGTTCCACATATTCACTACTGTATTTCTAAAATATTGAATAAAATCCTCAATTACTTTTACATTTCAAACAGACAAGCCAGGTCCTCCAATTGGTCCCTTCGACGTGAACAACATTACCGAATCATCCATTTTGCTACACTGGGATGAGCCTGACTCAGATGGCGGTTCACCTATCACTCACTACATTCTGGAAAAACGTGAATCCACCAAGAAAGCATGGACAAAGGTTGGCCAGACCTCAGCAGATGTCACCCAGATGGAGGTTTCCGGGCTGAAGAGAGGTGTTGGCTACTGCTTCAGAGTGTTTGCATTCAATGCAGTTGGTCAAGGACCTCCTCTACAGCCTGAAGAGCCGATCACAGCAGGCAAGAAGATCAGTGAGTAGAGCACGTGGCTGGGGTACTGCCCACGTGGAGCTAGCCGGGGGGGGGGATACACACATACATGCACACGCTCTGCCGATACAAATACATTGCAAACATTTCCATATCTTCCCTGACAACTCATGTCTGTCTACAGAGCACAGTTTATAGCTAAAACTTTAATTTAGCCAATTACTTCTAATACTAATGACTAAAGCATAACAATACTAAGAACAGTTTCAACAAAAATATACCAGTATGTGATCATCTTCGGCAGGGCGCGAGCCCCATACATTACATTGGTTGCACGTCACAAGCCACGCTTGACGTCAAAGCCATCAAACAAAGGACACTGTAGCTGACCCGTGGCAGCACCACCGCCGTAGAGAGGCAGCATGACCTGGGCAAAGCATGAAAATGTAATGGGTTACTTCCACTGTCACTACTTTTTGCACACTGCTGTTGATGGCTGTAGTCAGAAGTCTAGTAGTGAGTGGAAAGGACTCACTCAAAACCATATTTACCACTTGATACATATTAAATTATAATTCCATATTTGCATTCCATATACTTAAATATACACTAATGTTAATTTACTAGTTTACTACTTGTTACAGCAAAACAACTTTTGTTTTGGTGAACAGACAAAGAATATACTGACTACCTAACACTATTCACTTTTTCCACAACTTGACATATCTTTTGGTTGCCATCCTATAATGATTTTTATATGACAACATTAGACTGGTTCTCTAAGGTTGAAGCTTTTAAGTAAACCAGTTTGTGACAGTTAATATTGTCTGTACTCATGCCACTTTAAGCTGGTGAATTGTTATAGTACTCTATTTCACTTTCTTTCCTTTTGGATGGTTACCACTGATGAGACATATTCTTTGCAAATTCGTATCTGTTCAGTTAAAGTGTATTACCATGATGCATAATCATACAGACATATGACCAACCAGAAACAAGTGTAACTTTATAGAGCTTGTGAATATCTGACTAGCTGACTATTTGCCATATCATAGTCTTAGCTTTGCAGTGAATATGTCTTGCCTTGCTATATTGCATTATGTAGTATATGGATATCTGTTCAAAAAAACATGAAATTTCTCTCACAATACTGATGTGTAGCATGTTGCATCCTAGGGAAAGGAAAGAGTAGCATCTGTGTACAAAGTCTAACACAATAGTCTTAACCTGCTTTACACATTCGTTCCATATTTTCTCTAGATTTAGTTTTCATAAAATTCCAAATACAGAGTTGACATATGACGTGAAAATCATCATACAAACAATCATAATGTTGTGACCGGTATGACTATGGAAGATCTATTTCCATAGCATGCTTGTATCTCTCACTTTAGAAACTCCAATAATATACAAAAGAACCTTATCATAACAAGATAACCAAAATTTCTCACGTGAGTAGAATTACTCTCTGCCATTTCTGCTATTCCATGAATATTTTGTAAACTTTAGATTGTATAATTTCAGTATGTCCATAATACTTATGATATTGGTAAAACAAGGCCACTTGGTGAAAATGCTAAGAGCTTAACTTTTAATGTAGTAAACATTCACTCATGGGATTTGTTAAGCTAATGGCCAAAAGTCATCTTTGATATCTGATAAACTTCTAGTACCCTTTTATAGGTAGATCAATAAAAATTATTATCTGGGCTATCAAATTTGAATGAACATGAATGCAGAAATGGGCTCTTTTTCTCATGTTAATCCAATTTCATAACCTTTACATACATGGCAATGCATAACAGCCATTCTAATTCTAACTAGCGACACCATAAATGGGGACACTATACAATAACCGGTGATCCATTTGGGCAAGTTACCTCCTTGTTCTTTTAATGTTACGGTGTCATGCCATATAAATGGGCCTCATCATCTGTAATATTTGGTATAAGAGGTCAGTGATCATATCAGTTTGATTGAATTTTAACTATTGTTCAAAATTTAAATGAATAATGAATTCAATTAACATCTTCATAGGTTTATTATGGAGCCATAATGATTAAACAACACTATGATTAAATAACATGCTAGTGAGCATTATGAGATGAATTATGTAAGCATCATGATTGAGTGGATTTTACCCCTTTAGATAATACTTCATGTTTTTGTGTTTATTTGCTTTGCTTTGGAAAGATTTTTATTTCATGTTTTTTTTTTTCTTTTTCTGCTTTTGAAGCTAGTGACTGCAGGAATGTATTTATTATTTTTGTTTTTGAGATATCATTCTTTCTGCAATGTTAGATATTTTATATTATGAAAAAAAAGTTATATTACAAACAAAAGTAATTAACATCTAATTCACTTAAATTGCCAGACCTTATTTCAGACATTCATATAAACCTTAAATAAAGACTTGTGATGAATTAAAAAAAACAAACAAAGATCCAGTAACATTAATATGTGGCTCCATTGTCAGCCTTCTAATATTAATATCTTTTGAGGCCATTCCTCTTGTTGACTAACATCCGTTTCTTATTATTACTTACTTTTTCTTCAAAATAGCTCCTCCATCAAAGCCCAACAGCCTTCAGGTGATAGATGTTACTACCAAGACTGTGACCCTTGCTTGGGCACCTCCAACTACCACAGGAGGAGCTGACCTGATGGGTAAGAAAAGCATGATAAGTAATTTAAAAAAATAGATTCTTTCTCTGATACTTATTTAGGACTTGAATATATTGGTGTATATATCTCCCTTATATTACACACAAATTTACAGTATAAATGTTTGAGACATATAGAAATGTTTTGACTATAAATCAGAAACACCTGCACTTTAACTCTGTGAAAGACTTTTTGAGTCTCATAAGGTAAACTGATATATCAGCATATGAACAAAGCACAGTAAGTAAATATACTGTATTTAAGGCCTTACATAGAATTAAGAAACACTAATATTTCTTCATTTTGAACTGCCAATGATCATTTTGTGAAAATGGGAAATAAGTATATCATTAATTCTTCACTGTTACATTAATGATGTTGAGAAAAACTAACTCTTCAAACTCAACAGGTTACGTAATTGAACGAAGACTGATCTCAGAAAAGAAATGGGAGAGGGTTGACACTGTGGATGCTTCTGTGACTTTGTACTGTGTAGAGAACTTGCAAGAAAAATCTGAATATGAGTTCAGAGTGTTTGCTGAGAATCCAGTCGGTCTTAGTCTAGAAGCTGCAATGACAGAGCAAGTCAGGCTTAAGACTCATGCAAGTAAGTCAATCCCTAGAACACTATTTGCAGTAATATCAACCTGAAATATGCACAGAGCAAACCAGCTTTGTTTAGAAAGTCATGTATTGTTAAACGATGTCTGATACCACTGACATTTTTTTCTTCTTTAGTGCCACCATCACCACCAACTGCACCACTGGAAGTTCGTCCTACAGGCCCCAATAGCCTCATGATTGAGTGGGGAGCACCTGAGAGCGATGGTGGTGCTCCATTGTTAGGATATATCATTGCCATCAGAGACATCAAGAGAACCATGTGGATTGAAGTAGGCCAAGTTGGAGCCAACTTCACTAGGTTACACATCAAAGAGTTGCAGGTGGGTTTTAGGAATGTTATCCTTCAGAGAGTAGTTCAATTCTCAGATAGGTTTTCTGCTTAATTGTCTATAATGTTACAATTTGTGCCTTAACCACTTCCTTCTTCTTTCATATACATTTTATATTAGTATGAACTTTGAAGTCCTAAAAAGACTCTTCCTTGTCTATCTGTCCTCAACTTCACTCTTTTCTCATCTTTAGCTTCAACTAGTTCAGGGGTGCAATTTAAATATACATTTTATATTAGTATGAACTTTGAAGTCCTAAAAAGACTCTTCCTTGTCTATCTGTCCTCAACTTCACTCTTTTCTCATCTTTAGCTTCAACTAGTTCAAGGGTGCAATTTAAATTTAGCTTTTTGAAGCTTCCAACACATGAATAGTTAATTTGCAGTATGCTAATACATGATATACAAGTCATCTAATTTTGATGTTGCACTAAATATGTAAGATATTCATATGTAATGGATATTAGATTATTAATTAAAAAAAAATAGTATTACTCTGTCACCCTCAGTTAGTTTTATCAGACCTCAACTGACATTACTAAAAGTAAAGGTAGTCTTTTCTTACAAAATAAATATCAAAAAACATTCTTTTTACATTTATTTCAGGAGGAGCACGAGTACCATGTCAGAGTGTTTGCTCGTAATGAAGTGGGCACAAGTGATCCTCTGGAAACTGAAGATCCTGTGAAGGTCATCCGGCCAGCTGGTAAGTACATGTTCTTGGGTCATATTTTCCTTATGAAGTATAGTCATTCAACTTATTTCTCTCTATATTCATTTAGCATGTTCCTTAACACACTTTCATTTCATTTTTACTTCAGACTCTCATCAAAATTGTTTCAGTAATCATTACTTCTCTTTACATTTCTCTTATCCTTTCTTTTTATGCAATTGACTCCTTCAACAGTTGTGATACCATCCTTTAAAATATCCTAATTTCTTTTAGAATTAATAGCAAAAAGCAAAAGTTTTATAAATGATAAATGGATCTGGCATGTTTAGGCCATTTTCTAATGATACTTTTATCAATGATGAACATAATTTCTAATAATACTGTGATGGTCCTTAGTGCTCTTGGTATCCCAGCTGTCATATTCTTGTATCTCATTTGTTGCATATTTTCATCCACCTTCTAACCCATCATATTCATTCCTTTATTCAATGTATTTTTCATTTCACATCATCCAGGCTCTCCTTGTATCCCTGTCTACCACTTATTAGCAATAAAGGCCAAAGTTACCATTTCTCATGAATGTAATAATATACAACAAATAATGGTTGCTATAACAGAAAAGTGAATCACGTCTTTCCTGCCCAGTTGCTTTTATCAACAGCTAACAAAGTTCGATTTCTTATGTAAAAAAATAAATTGGATGTGGATGAATGGCTCTGATTGACAACAGTATATTCAAACTGAATGTATGAATTACAGTACTGTCATGATTTTACGTATAACTTCTATATGGAATGAAAGATGGTTAGTGGCAGGATGCTTTACACAGATTATAAAGATGCATCAAGTAACTAAACTGTGGGTGTTAAACATCGGTATTCTCATTTACATTTCTCTAACTCTCATCCTTAATCCAAAAAGTACTCCTGCAACTTTATGATTAACAACACCCACTTCAATTTAAATGTTCAGTCAGACGCAACAGTGACTGATATGTTTCCAAGCCTAACATAACCGATTATTTGAGGCTTGCTAAATCGAAAAGCGAGCCAGTTGTAATGTACTTGATCCTTGGCGCAGACTTCACGGAGCTGCCTGAGGATGATAATGCGCCTTCACTGTCCTACTCCACGACGGAGACACTCTCCTGGATGCGGGAGGCTGGCATGGACGCCGATATCTACTCTTATGCTCGTGGTCGCCTCCTGAACAGAGACGAATACTTCTTCAAAGTCTGGCACCGCGGGATGGACAAATACGAAGAGAAAAAATAATATGTCAGAAATATTTTTATTATAATTTTTTAATAGGAAACTCTTAGTTAAGTACTGTATTGTTGAAAATATAATTTTATTTGTTAATTTCTGTTAATGTATATTGCCGATTACGGAGACATGTCTCCTTTGAGATGAGCAGGTGATGGGGTTGGTGTCCAATCTCTCACTTGTTATGGAGAATACCCTTTTAAGGAACTGAAGTTGTACTTACTATTTACTGATGATCGTCATATTTTTGTCAGTGATTCTCGATTATGTGTACTATAACGGCTCCAGGTGTCCACAATAAGGAGGATACCGGAAGCCACCCTTGGAAGACTTGTGCGCCATAAGGTGTTCGGTCCTGGACTTCCCAGTAGGAACTTTCGCTCTGGTCCTGTTTTGACATCATCATCATTACCCTGAGATGTTCACCTGTGCACCCAGTAAAACAGACCCGGAAGTTTCTAGCTGTGATATTCCCAAATGGCCCAAATATACCATCATATAGATATTTTCTTTTAGTATTGCGGGCCTAAATTCCAACCCGTGGACCAAATCTTGTGGCAGTACAACTCTAAATGACTTTGATACACGAATCCCTTATTTTGTGTACTGTATAGATTTTGTCATTGTATTGTCTTGCTCGTGACTCAGGATTAAATGTAATCATTTCTATTTATAAATGATCGTATCACTGAACGCGAATGTGTCCATATTAGTCTCATCATAAATATGTATGACCTTAGCTGTTTTGTGGTGAATGTACTGTGATAAGCGAAACTTACCTAAGTCGACTGCGTGCTTGCATAAGAAAATATCTATTGTTTTTTTTTCTTGTGTTGCCTTGTTTATTTCCCCAAATTTTGTGACCTAGCTGACAAGCCTTAGTGAACATTGTGTGTCAGGAGCCATACTGCTGCTGCGAAAAACTACCATCTCTTTGGCCCGACCACAAAGT